TGGTAAATAATCATCTGAGAAAGTTTTGCACTCACAGGTGTCAGAGCCCAATGTACAAACAGTTGGCACATTGTTGGGGAATTTTTCATCCCCTGTGGAAGGACCACCCACTCAAATCTTTGAGATGGACTTTCTTTATTGATCGATAGTAAGGTGAAGGCAAATCGCAGTGTCTTCTTTTTGCAGGGGTGTTGTGAAGAAACAGTTTTTCAAATCTATAACTAGAAGATGCCATTCTTGTGGCAGCATTGTGGCATCCCTGGTTGTAATGCTCCCATTGTCCACATCTGGTAATTTGCCTTGCACAAATCATGCAGAAATCACCACTTTCAAGATTTCTTTGGGATGACAAAGATTGGAGTATTCCATGGGCTGAGTGATGGTTGTATGTGTTTTGCTTGCAGTTGCTCTTTGACAAGCTCATGTGCAATTGCTAGCCGCTCCTGAGAGAGAGGCCACTGCTCAACCCACACTGGTTCATTAGATTTCCGTTGAATCCTTGGGGTTGGCGGCCTGTCAGCAGTGGCAACTACTGAAAAGGCGATTGGACAGGAAAGGTTAATGTTGCTCCTAGCTGGCTGAGAACATCTTGACCAATGAGCCTTCCAAGGCTCCCAGGCAAAGGCATGACATATGGACGTAAGGTGGTAGTCTGTCCCTCAGGACACCGGAACTGAATTGGATGTACACTTCTCAGTGGTGTAGAGTGTCCTTCTACACCTTGTACTGAGTTTAAGGCTCTGTGGAGAGGCCACTCTCTTGGCCACCAAACTCGGCTGACGATGGTGACATCAGCTCCTGTATCTAACATCATTTTAACTCTTTGCTGTTTCATTCTTTGGCACGGGGTGATTTCAGCTACTGGTCAATGGTTCACTTGTAGAACAAGATTCACCACTGTCTCTCCAGTAGATCCAAATCCTCTGACTCCACATCTAGGGGCATTTTGAAAAATACCTTTTTCCGTTGCTACCTTTTGAAACAAAACCAATTGAGCGATTCTTGCTCCTTTTTAAATCGTGAGTGGAGGGGCTAATGTACAAATTTGGATTTCACTGGTATAATCAGCATCAATAACTTCTGGGAGAACAATGAGTCCTGGAACTCCAGCAGATGACCTTCCAATCAGCAAAGCACCAAGTGCACTGGTGACAGAATAAATGGGTCCTGTGACTCCGTTTGGGATCTTATGGTGGTGTTGATGAGAGTGACATCTACTGATGCTGCCAAATCGATTCCCAGGCTTCCCCTGGTTGCTGGTGGGTTGAGTTGCTGTATAGAGTTGGGTCGGCAACTTTTGTCCCCATGCGGCGGCTCCTCGCACTCTTGCTCATGTTTTTTGAGAAACGACATGTAGTAGCAGCATGGGTATCCATCTGGCATGGATCACACCATACAGTAGCTCAGCAGGACTTTTGAAAGTGTCCTTTGTTGCCACATCAGGAGCAAATGTCTAAAGGCACAGCGAAAGGTTTATGTCTATTTCCCAATTTACTGACTGCAGCAGCAAGTAGGTTTGTAGTTGGTTTTACGGCTTCTGCAACTGCATTGGCTACAAGTTGTCCTTGTTGTTTCTGATTAACTCTCAGAGCAATATCCAGCATGTCCTCCACATCTGCTTGTTTGGGGAGCGTGGCAAGGATAGGCTTTATTTTTGAATTAGTGTTCTCAAAGCTAACAATTTAAACATGTTCTGTTTTGCTTCCTCTGTCATGTCATTCTGAGCCTTCACGGCCGCTGACAGACGACAGATGAAATGAGGATATGGTTCTGTGAGGATTTGCTGAACTGCTGTGAAGGAAGGATGAGGTTTGGAATCAGGCACAGCATTGAAAGCTTGACAAGCAAACTGTGCTGACAAACGATGCATTGCAAGGGGATAATTTAATTGTACAGCCATGTGACTGTAAACTCCTGAACCGGTGATCTTGTCAGGATTAAGTCCATACAGTACATCATTCTGATCTTGAGGTCGATTTGCTTCTAAAACAGCTAACCTTTTCCATTCCTTCTCCCACATTATAAGCTGTGATGGAGATAAAAGCAGACATGCTAAATTCTGGCTGTCTATGGGACTATTAACATCAGAGGTGAATATCCAATCCAAGGCAGTGTTTGCAGCTTCAGATTTAATGCCATGCTCAGTAACTGTCTTTTTGGCTTGCTGCAAGATTTTCCAGTCGTGTTGTTCATAGCGTGGATTTTGCTGGTCATATAAAATGGGACAAGCAATTGCTCCTGCTGCTTGCCACTCCCCTTCAAAGATTGCATCCCAAATGATGCCAGTCCATCTTTGCTTTGATTTTTGTTTTCTGTTCTCTTCTAGGGTAGTAGAATTAGAGCTGGAACAAGATTGTGGTGTTAACAGTGTCTCTAAAGGTGGAGCAGATGGTTCAGGGCGTATCATGTCTTGTAGTTGCTGAACAGATTCTGCTTGCTGTTTCAGCTGTTGCTGTGGAGCTGCTTTCTCTTGATGATGCTGTGCTCCATTTGTACATAATGTCTGTTCAATCTGAGCTTGTAGCTGTTGCACAAGCTATTCTATTTGCTGTTGCCATTCTATTAGCTCTTTTTTCGATGCATCATTACAATTGATAGGTTCCTCTCCCACCAGTGGTCATCAGTCTTCTGAATGCATCGATATAGTGTTGTCTGGGGGGGAGAGAGACGTCCTGCGGTTTTCCCCAGTTAACAGTAGATGTCAGCAAAGGATAGATTTTCGGCTTGCAATCTGGGGCTCTTGCTTCCGCTGATGTGTGAGGCTCCGCCTGGCTGGGGCTGGCGCCGTCTTCTTCCGGAGACGTCGTCATTTCTACATCGGCATTTGGTGGAGTAACTTCCGATTTGGGCTCTGCTGACACGGTCTGGCCTGCTCTGACACACCCCTGAGATTTTAAAAGTTCCGAGACCAAGCTACATTGCTTCCCCTTGAGCCCTTTCACTGGCCGAACATGCCCAACCCCAAAGAAAGCACCCAGACGGCTGACTGAAGTGGCAGGAGGTGACTGCGACATGTCTGTCTCAGACCAAGCCATGGCTTCTAATGCAGTGGCTGTGATTGTGGACTCCGCCTTCATATCTTTTAAGGTATTCAATACAACTCTACAGATCGAACCGAGCGTTACTGTGTCTTTGGTTTTCGCCGTGATCGCTTTTTCCCCCAACAAATCTCCTATGTCTTTCCATTCTTCTGCTGCAAAAAGCAGCAGTGGCACCTGGAGGTGCCTGGTTTTTTTAGCCCATAGAAAGAGTCTCTCAAGGTCCTTTTCCTTGACTGCTTTGCCTCATTTAATGACAAGGCTCAGAAGCATTTTCCTTACCACCACAAACTCAACTTCCATGTCAGCAGCTCACAGGCAGGCAGAGGGTCGCAACCCCTCCTCACCTCTTCCGCCCTCGGTTTCCCCCAGCAGCCCGTCTCTGCATCTCCCCACGCACAGGCTCACCTACCCAGTACCAATCCGCATCTTCCTGCGCACAGATCCACTCCACCGGCTCTGGCCTGTATCTGCATCTCCCTGAGCACAGACCACCGAATCCTTCTGCCTGCAAAAGGTTCCTGTTGGAGCGCCAGATATTGAGAAACCGCTCAGACTATTCAGCCGAGTCTTCACAGAAGTATGGCAAACATCGTTTATTTCTATCTTTAGCACACTTTTATAGGGTTCAACAGGGTTCACATGCTTAACAAGCTACTATTGGCTAATACATATTGTTTTACATTCTCTCTCCAGTGCACAAGTCTATTGTTTTTCTTTCAATCCCGCTGCTCCACGAGAGTTTCAAGGACACTACCTTTAATATTGTCGCTTATACCAAAGGCTGTCTGGCTTGTGCAGACAGGCTTTTACTAAAATATCATGTTCTCCTTCTGTTAAAATATTCTCTACAGTCACCCCATGTGGCAAGGTGCATTCAAGCCTCAACATTGCTGATTCTGGCAATATTGAAAAGTTTGTGTCTTACTGCCTGCCAGGATTCCAATTGAGAAATCCCACTAGAAGGGAAATCTTTTACATGTGTGGACACCCAGTCTAACAAGGCACTTAGCTTAGCACCGGCAATGTCTGTACTTCACCAATGCAGGTGAAAAGCTCTAGGCTCCATCTGTTTGTTCCAGGGATATTTTTCATCCCATAATTCTTTCCCTGCTCACCTGAAAGGTGATGGCTGCTCGTTTGGGTTCCTTTGCTGTACTTTTCCTGGTGAACCTCAATTCAGTTCAGTGGAAGATGCTACTGGTCCATGCCTTTCACTGCCTGTGAAATGTCCCTGTTTGGGTACCATTTGGAGCAATGGGAAACAAAGACACACGGACCACCTTGCTTGCTCCAAAGAAGATCACTTGTCGTAACCAACTGAGCCTTTTTATACTCTTAACTTGACCCAAACTTAACCAAACTTAACTAAAACTTAATGAAACAAACATGCATTGGCTGTCTGCCACTGCAGTGTCGCTGTTGATGCATCCCTTTACCCAATCAGCTTGCTGATCATGTTGTGGCCATGCATATCCCCAGCCAATCACTGCCTCACACACAAGGTAACCACCAGCCCGCTCTCCAGCCATCTGACCCACAGCTGAACCCTTCCCAGAGTGCCTGCAACTGCAGGCAGCACAAGGCTGGATTTGGTCCCCCAGAGAGCTGGAAACCCTCATGACTTCCTCAGTGCATTTTGTTCCTACATGAGTGTGGGGACCACTGGGAAATGATATGCATGCCTTGCTAACTGGATGTTCTTCCACCACTAAGTTGGAACAGGATCTCTCCTGGTCCTTCTCTCAACACCCAGGCCGCTCCTCAACCAATCAGAGAAGGCACTCAAATAATTGAGCCAATCAGAGCGCACAGCACTGATGACTCCCCAGTTGCCCGGCGGTCCCACAGCCCCCAGAGCTCCTCACCTAGACTCCACCCACACCCTGCCCTTGCTCCCAGCACTCCCTGACAGGGGAATCTGGGGAGGGGGGAGGTGTCAGAACCTGTCCGGCACTGGCCATGGGGCGTGTGGCGGCAGCTGGGGCCCTACTGCTGGCACTGGGAGCCCCCCTGGCTGCGGATGCAGAGCTCTCAGGTGAGCCGGAGGGGTGGGAAAGGAAGTGGTGGCATGGTGGGAATAGTGGGGAAAGGAAGGGAAATGGGGAGGTGGGGCCCCCAAACAGATGCGGGGGGAGGGGAGGGAAGGCAACTGGGGAATTATGGGAAAGGGGCAGGAAAATATGGAGAAGGGTGGAAAAGAAGAACTGGGACCAAGGGAAGAAGGGTCCCATGGTGGCTATGGGGCACTGGTGGTGTGCAGCCGGAGGTGCCCCAGAGCTCTTGGCTACTCTGGGAAGCAGGGAGAGCACCCCTGAACCTGTGTCCTATACACACAGGGGTGTTCCAGGAGATGGTTAAGTCCAAGTGTCACTTCATTAATGGCACTGACCGCATGAGGTTCATGGAGAGGAACATCTACATTCGTGTCGAGATGAAAAACGAGGGATGTGACTACCGTGCTATTTAAGATGATTTATTACTCAAGCCAGATAAGATACCAGTCTCAAAGGTGTGAGATTTGGAGAGAAGCAACAAGTCAGCCATAGCTCAATGTAGTCACAGGTTTCATCTTCAGAAAGCAATATATAACATTTTGGTCCAATAGACAGTTAACAAGAAACTTGTTTCTACTTAATAACCTACCACCTTTGCTTAATTCTGTCACAGTGCGTCTGTCTTTTAGCCAATAAACTGATAGGTCACGTACCAACACACACCTCTATTATAGCTTCTCGATCCTTAGCCTACCCTATAAGTCACATTATTAAAGCTTAAACTTCTCACTATTTTACCTAATATAATTTCTTACTTACTCAAGGCATATTCTTACTTACAACTATAGGAACTTAAGTTTATAATATTTTTACTTCATGTGTGTGTACCTTTATCATTACGTTAACCCAAGCTCTTTCCAAGGCTGCAGATTGAAACCTTCAACATCTGCAGAAGTTTCTATTTTTCCATTTCCTACACACCTGGGAGCAGCTCCTGCACTTTGGCAGCGATGTGAGGCTGTACGTGGGGGACACCTCCTTTGGGGAGAAGATTGCCCCATACTGCAACAGAGACCCGCAATGGATGGAGTACAGATGGGCTGTGGTGGCACACTACAGTTGGCACTTCTCGCACAACTATGAGCTGTCCATCCCATTCCTCGTGAAGTGGAGAGGTGAGCGTGGGGCAGAGCTTGTCCCCTCAGGCCCTGCCTTGGGAATGACCCTGGAGCCCCCCAGAACCTGCCTGGAAATCACTACAGAGCCCTCAGCCCTCCTTGTGCCCATCCCCAGGGCCTCCTGCCCTCCTGCCCTAAGTGACTCCTGTGGCTCTGCCATTCTGTCCCAGTCTCTTCCAGTCCATCCCAGTCTCTCCCAGTGTCCTCATAATCCCTCCCAGTGTAACCAGAGTCCCTCCCAACTCCTCTCAGTCCACAGCAATTCCATTCCCAGTCCACTCCCAGTCCATATAACTCCATTCCCAGACCTCCACCCTCTCTCCCATTACCCTCCCAGTGCCCCTCCAAATCTCTCCCCTCTCTCCGTTCCCCCAGTCCCTCCCAGTCCATTCCAAGTCCTTTTCAGTTCAATCCCAGACCTCCACCCTCTCTCTCATTTCCCCAATCCACTCTCTCACAGTGTTCCCCTACTCTCCAATTTCATTCTCAGTCCCTCTCAATGATGTTGCAGTGCATTGTCGCTGTTAGACACAAAATTATTCACACGGACACAGTTCAATGTGTGATAGGAAAAGGAGAGAGATTTATTCCGTGGTTCCAGTATTTATAGATTTTCGACAACAACCAGGGATTGGATAGTTAGGTTATCACCTTCCCAACCACACTGGTCGTGAGAAATGTCCATCAAAAGACACTTCTTTAATGGAATGTATAAACATCTATGTTATAGTTACTTTGCTGGGAAAGTGGCTAGAAACTATGAAAACAAGTTCAGAAAGTTTAATTCTCAGGGCGACAGTTCATTTTTGTTCATTATATTTGATTAAATTACCCTCTGTATTGTTAAGTTGTACCCCCCGCCTTCCTATGTTAATAATTTAGTCCCAGTTGTGCCCTCCTACCCCAGTTACCAATCCACCCTGATACCTGCCCCTTGTTCCTAAATGTTCCCTGTTCCCCCTCCCATTAAGTTGTCAATCCTCTGTTGAGCCAACCACCTGCCTGGACTGCCCCCTTTGGAATTCCCCTATTCCTCGAAGCCCCATTGGACCATGTGACCCACTCTCTTTCCCTTTTCTTCCCTATTGGTTTCTGCATTGGGTAACCCTGCCCTGTGCTCCTCCCCACTCTTTCCCCTATTGGTTCATGAGTTGTAGCCTCCCCTTGATCCTCCCCTGTATATAAGCTGCTGTACCCCTGTATCTTTTGTCTTTCATCCCTGGAACCATCAATTCCTATTTTGGAAACTACACAGAAGTCCTCTCCCTTGTCCTTGCTCCTGCCCTCAACACTTGACAGCCTGTGCTGTAGATCATAAGCCCTAAGCTGTATCCTGGACTGCACTGCTTTCTGAGAACAGCCCACTCTTGGCCCAGTGCCAGGAGCTGGCTGGGGAAAATCCAGCACTGTGCCACAAAGCCACACCAGCCCTCTCCCATCTCTCTCAGTTTTCCTCCAACAGATCCCAGTGTGTCCCCACTCTCTCCCAGTGCCCTCCAGCATTTCCATCTTGCTGGGGCCCTCGAGCTTCCAGCCCAGCCCTGGCTGCCTGCTCTGCTCCATGATGGATGTCTACCCTGCCGAGATCGAGCTGGTCCCAGGGCCAGCAGCAGCTCTTGGGGCACATGGTGGCCACTGATGTGGTTCCCACCGGGGACTGGAGCCAGCAGCTCCTGGTGCTGCTGGAAACCCCCCCGGCAATGCGGGCTCAGCTCCAGCTGCCAGGTGGAGCACGTCAGCCTGGAGCACCCCCTGAGCCGGCACTGGGGCACGGCCCGGCCCCCACAGCGCCGGGGGCAGCGGGGGAGGCACTGGGGGGGCTGGGAGGGTGATTGGGGTGTGCTGGGAGGAACTGAGAGGGAGTTTGAGATAGTCTTATTGAAACTGGGAGAGGGCTTCAGGTGCCTAAAATGGCTGAGAAGGAGCTTGAAGGATGTTGGGGAGGGTGGGATGGCATTCCAGGGATCCTGGTAGACACTGGGAGGGAGTTTGGGGGTGCTGGGTGTCACTGGGAGGGATTTGAATGAGCATGGAGGGGCTGGAAGGAGATTGGGAATTGGAAAGCAAGGGATTGAATGAAGTTGGTTATGCTGGGAAGAGACTGGGAGGGGTCTTGGTGTGTCCTAGGGCAGTGGGGGGCAACAGGAAAGGTGGCGGGATCCTGAGAAGGACAGGAGGGGATTTGGTAGAAGGGATTGGGAGATTTCAGGGGTCATGGGTGAGCTGGGGGAGACTTGGAGCGTGCTTGGAGGGCCTTGGCATGTCTGTGAGAGGTTTTTGGGGGTCCTGACCACTGTGGAGCACCCAGAGATGCCACAGGATGCCGCAGAAAGATGATGATGGGGATCAGGGGCTCCATGTTGGGCTTTGTCTTCCTGGCACAAGGCTTCTACCTGCACAAGAAGGTGAGGGAGGGTCCTGGGGGTCGTATTTCCCCTTCCTCAGAGCATATGTGCTCCCCTGGAGCCTCCCAGCCAAGTGTCATCCCCTTTTCTCTGACAAAAGAGCTCCTGAGCCACCAGCAGCTGTAGCCCCTCGCCGTGGCCTCAGGCCTGGCCAAGACCTCCACTCCATCCCCGCACTGATTATGGAAGGGTCATGTGCCCCCCCAGCCCCACTGTCACTGTCCCTGCCTGGCTGCTCACAGTGTTCCCAATAAAGCTTCCCAGATTTCCCCAGCCCCAGTTATGGGGGGAAGTGGGGAGAGACTTGGGGGATCCCGCAGAGGAACCTTGACTGGGGGGAGCAGAACAGACCCCAAGATGGATCCAGAACGGGGACCCCCATGTGTCCCCCCGTGTCACCTTGCTCTGCGGGGCCACGGGAGGCACCTGAACCCCAGCACAGCGCCCAGCAAACCCCAAAAGGTGCCGGGACTCCCCCAAAGCCACCAGAGAAATTTGGTGAGGGTGTGCGTGGGGAGTGCCCAGGCCGGGCCAAGAGCCCACAACTGCCCCAGTCTGACCTGCCCTGGTGCCTCCCATGCGATGGGACCGCGTTGGGAAAAGGAGGGCTGGGCTCCGGGCCCGGGGAGGTGGGGGGGAGGTGGGGGGGAGGGAGGGGAGGAGCAGAAGGGACGGAGGAAGAGAGCTGAGGAAGGAGTGGGACGAGGGCAGAAGTGAAGAAGGAGACGAGGAGCTGTGATTAGAAAGGAGGAGTGGGACCCATCTCAACACAATTTTGGGGTGCCAGCCCCCTCTCCCAATCGTTGAGGGTCTCAGCCCTCTCTTTTCCTCTACTCTTCCACCACTTCCCCACTGCCCCTCAATCCACCAGGTCCATCCCACATGCTTGGTTTTGGGAGTTACAGACCCTTCAGTCTGGGGGTCCCATCCCTATCCTTCAGCTCAGGTAGCTTTTCCTGGGAGGAATCCCTGGGTTTTGGGATTTGTGGAGTGCAGTTCTGGAGTGGGACAGCTCTGTCTGGCTTTCCCCTCCCTGCTGTGACCTCTCAGCTGCCCCCCACACCCTGGGTGTGCTGGGATTTCCCTCCTGGGCACAAGGACCTTCATTCCCTTCCAGGAGCCCAGTGCCCAGCTGGGGCTCCAGGCCAGGGGGTCCTTGAGCAGCTGCCCCAGAACCTCTGCCAGGGGCTCCCAGCGCAGCCGCAGCCACTCGGCCTGGGCTCCCCAAAGCCCTCAGCAAGCCCCAAGTCCCTGCCAGGAACCCTCAACTCCCTCAAACACAGCATCCCCCACTGTCGGTAGAGGACACGAAGTATAGCAAGGATTCCAAGAAATTACACACAGTAACCAGCTTCTCGTGAGGCAAAGAAGCTTTTATTTTGGGGTTTTGTCAACCCTTTTATAAGCTGGTCCAATCAGGTCTCCCTGACTGGCACAAGGAACAACACTTTCCTCATCCCATTGGTCGGACAAGATAAAAAACACTCTCAGAACATTTGTGTCTTGATTTGGGAAAGTAAAACCTTATTTTCACCAATAGTCCTTAAAAAAGACAGCTCCCAAAGACTTTTTCTTGGGAACAATCAGCCCAAGAGCTTAAAATTCTCTCAGGTTCAGGAATCATGTACACCCCAAAGCCCCTGCACCTTCTCCCCATGACAGTGGCCATGGCCATGTCCCCACATGTCACTGGCCATGTTCCACTATGTCCTCACCCATGTCCCCACCATGTTTCCATCCCTGGCATTGTCTGCCACGTCTCCATCTGTGCCCATGTCCCCCCATGTCCCCATGAATGGCCACATCCCTGTCCATGTGTCCCCATATCATTCTTCATGTCCTACCATGTTTATGCCTCTCAATGTCCCCACCCATGTTTTACTTCAATGTCTTTATTTTTACCTGTTTCAGATGTTTTCAAAGGATGAAGAGAAATTAAAAACAAATCAAGGCCAAAACAAAAGGATTTATGTGTGTGTGGTTGCTGAAGGATACACATAGTTGGGTGGGAGGGAAGAACCCTTTTTAGAGGGGTTTCCACCCCACTGTCCCTAAAATCTTGGTATTTACCCCAATCCATCAATATTTGGCTGAGGAAAACACCCTTGGGCAATAGGCAAAGATAATCACTGTGTGGAATCACTGAGGTTGGAAAAGACCTCCAAGATCATCCAGTATTCCCTGATGCCACCAAAACAGAGGATTGAATGCAAAAGATTTTCTGGGATTGAAAGTCAACAAATCCAATCTCTCCAAGAAATTCCCATTGTTGGTCCGTGTCCCAGTGGATGTTCCTGCCCCTGTGTTCATCCAGGTGCCCACAGGGAGCCAGGAAGATGTGGAGCACCCCACACCAGGTGTCTTCCCAACACAGATCACCAGGACCATGGATCACCAGGGCTCTGCCCAACGCGGGTCACTGGGGATCATCCAACGCCGATCCTCCCATGGGGGATGGAGCTGGAGCAGCGCACAAAGCTCTTCCTGCACTCGGGGCACTCACAGGGCTTCCCTTACTGGTGCCTCTGTTGGTGTTTGATCAAGATTGAGCTTGTGGAGAAGCTCTTGCCACACTGGGGACACTCGTAGGGCCTCTCCCTGCTGTGGATGCGCCGGTGGACGGTGAGGTTGGAGTTGTGCTTGAAGCCCTTCCCGCAGTCGGGGCACCGGAAGGGCCTCTCCTCTGTGTGAATCCGCTCATGTTTGAGGCGATCGGAGCTGGTCTGAAACCTGTTCCCACACTCAGGACACTCATAGGGCCTCTCCCCAGTGTGGTTGCGCTGGTGTTTTCTCAGTTCAGACCTCCACCCATAGCTCTTCCCACATTCCAAGCAGGTGTAGGGCCGTTCCCCTGTATGGATCACCTGGTGCCGGATCAGGGCCCAGCTTTCTCTGAAGCTCTTCTCACATTCTCCACACTTGTAGGGCTTTTCCCCAGTGTGGATCCTCTGGTGTTCCCTTAGCTGGGAACTCAGGATGAAGCTCTTTCCACATTCCTCACACTCATACGGCCGTTCGCCAGTGTGGATCATCTGGTGTTTCTTTAGGCCAGAGCTCTGGCTGAAGCACTTCCCACATTCCCCACAATCGTAGGGCTTTTCCCCAGTGTGGATCCTCTGATGCTGCATCAGGTGGCCCTTCTGGCTGAAGCTCATCCCACATTCTCCACACTCATAGGGCCTTTTCCCGGTGTGGATGACCTGGTGTTGCATCAGGTGACCCTTCTGGCTGAAGCTTTTCTCACATTTCCCACACTCGTAGGGCTTTTCCCCAGTGTGAATCACCTGGTGCCGGATCAGCTCAGAGCTCTTTCTGAAACCCTTCCCACATTCCATGCACTTGTGGGGCTTCTCCCCGCCATGAAGCTTCTTCACCAGCTCTGAGCTCTGGCTGGATCTCTGGCTGCCTTCCTGGCACAGGGAGGGTCTTTCTTCCCTGCAGCTCCCTGGGCTGGGTTTGCAGCTCCTCCTTGTATGGTAAAATCCAAGGCTTTTCCTCCTCCTCCATCTGACCAAGGCTTGGGAATGAAAAATCCTGGTTGGAGGGAAAAAACAAGAGGATAGCACCTTGGGCTGGGGGTTCCTCCTTGCCCAAATTCATCTCAGGAAGTCACTTGGAATCTTGTGTCTGTAAGAACTTCAAAAACACCAACATTCAGCCCAAACATCCTCCGAAGATCGAGACATAGATCAAAAATGCCCCAAAATCAAGATTCACCCAAAACCCCCTCCAGAACATAAAGACTCAGCCCCTGCAAACAACCAAAGCACCAACACTTAGCCAAATAAAGCTCAGAAAGATCAAGATTCAGCCCCATGAAAATCGTGGATCCCCCTCCCCAGTCACCTGCTTAATGAAGGGGGGGGGGAGGGCAACGCCCCTGAGGCTGGGAGGCTGCAGATACAGGGAGGGGTGGAACCTTGTGCTACCTGTTTCTGCTCCTGCTCCTTCTGCTCCTCCAGTGTCCCTACTCTTCTTCACACTTCCTCACTACTCCTCCTTCTTCTGCACAGTTCCACCTTCTTCTCCCACAGGCATCATTTGACCATTTTGTTCTTCAACCCTGCATCCCCTTCCCTTCTCCTCCTGACCCCAGGCCCAGCACCCACTGCCGGCTCCCTCTTCCCCCCCAGTCCCACAGCATCCCACCGCAGGGGCACGGATGGAGCTGGGCCAGCTCGGCCTGGGGCAGCGCTGGGCTCTCGGCCGCTTCCACCCGCACTCGCTCCCCACTGCAGCCGCTCCCGCCACCACAGCGCGGGGGGGCCCGGCCTTGGCGCTCCCCCCTCCCACCTCCCCAACTTCCCCCC